ATCCAGTTCAGGTGGTGGATAATTTGATACAATATATCTTTTACCTGTGGTACTGGTTTGGATTTCTTCACAACTGGTTCATCTTCATCAGAATCAATCTATTAAAATTAACAAACATAAGTTTCACTCAAAAAGGTTTTCACTCATTTTTACTGTGATTGCCATAAATAAATAATTAAAAGTGGCTGATTTGTTGAAGCATTGGAATGGTAGTCGGATATTGTATTTGTAGCACATGCACTCATATACATCACAGGTATGTTTCTACAAGCAAAAATGAGTAATATTTTGATGGTACAGCATACAACAAATGCAATTTTTGGTTTATATCTATTGAAGATTTCAATAACCCAAATACAGTATTCAAATTAAGCACTTATCCACCTGGTAGAAACACTGATAGATGCAGTACATTAGATTGCATTGGCAACCAAAAAAAATCTAGCATACATTTTGCTTTGTATGTGAAATCATATTCCAATACACATACCTCTGGCATTGATGGTAATGTAATCTTCACAGGTTGTCCTTTTTTTGGAGCTGGAAGACTAAGTGAGGATGACTTTGTTGTTTTTTCAACTGGTGTTGTAGTGTTTCTAACTTTCTTAAGATTCATAGTACCACTGCTATGTTGAGGAGAAACAGTTGATGAATCCACTTCTGGAAGAAAAAAAAGAAGAAAAAAGACTAAAGAAGAATAAAATAAAATACTATAATGATGTTTTATAATTTTTAAATGACTAAATATCAACTTGACCAATGATTAAAAAATAAATTATAAAAAACTTATGGGTAAAAGGCATTACCAAATGTCTTCATCTGAAAGCATCTTTGGATTTGAATGAAGCAAGAGGCTCTTCCATAAAATCCATTCAAGGATGGATGTTATGAAATCTCACATAACATGTATAAATTTAGAAAGAAAAAGACGGGACAACTTGAGTTGTTGACAATATGCGATAGAATGAACAGAAATCGACAAGCAACGAACATTAACTAGTCAGTGAAATGAAATCGGTGGCCGACACACTCAGGGAAAGTATGATATTGTCGTACAGTGTTGTATAATTCTGGGGTCGAAGTGACGCACAGTGTGCAACTCCGGGGGTCGAAGTGACTAGGGCGCAAGGGGTCGAGGTGTCTAACTTGGGGTCGAGGTGTCCCGGGTCGAACGGGATAGGGGTCGAGGTGACTAGAAATCATGCGCCCTTGGGAGCAGATCCTCTAGCAATCTTAAAATTCTGATTGACCAGGGATCACATGTGACCACAGTCTTCAACTGTGACCTGTCTGATTGTAATTTTGGCCCTAAGGAAGCTATAGAATACTTCATTTTAACTTAGAATTATCAAAAACTCCACACCCTGGTAGGGAGAACCCTATCTCCCCCACTCGATGGCGCCGCTGAATTGCAGTGCTTCCTCTTGCATCTTTTTCTAGAAAATAACCTGTAATTGGTTTGATAATGTTTTCGGTTTTCATTACGTTTTGCAGTGCTACATCATTCAGTGAAATATAAAGCTTTCTTTTCTGATATTTTCATTGACGTTTCTCACTATAATTTATTCTAGATAAAGCCCGAAGGCTGCTCTGACAATGTGATTATTATTGTAATATTGCTAATATTCTATATTATCGTGAGTATTCTGCGCAACAAATGAACTAATTTATACGTTCAGAGCGTTAAAGTATACATACCTATCGTGTTCGAAGTCTTTGGAGGCGGCAAGGATGACAACAACGATCTCGCAGATGAAGACGCCTTGGAGTCGAGCGGTATCACACTCGATGTTACCGGTTGAATCTCTTCATTGTCGCTACCTTCACTTTCGTCACTGCTTCCGTAATTTACCAAAGACATATTGTTTTGCCTGGTTACAATATGTCGTAATAATATACGTTAATTGCCGGGAATATGCAAAAAACACTGCTGGTACACATGCACCCCAACCACAAACGTAACAGATCTTAGTCTTACATTTACAGAACGTTGTACGGCGTTCTTATTATATGTGAAATTATATAATATCAGAAGACCAACTAAATAATCATCTTATTTTATAGAGTTATTAATAACTCATGATTTTCTTAATTTTCTACTAAAATAAATCTTTATGATAAAGGGTTACTCTCATCTTTTCGAATAATCGGAGGCTCACAAAGTTATCAATATTTACTGTTTCCAATGTTATTATTTTTCAAGTCTGGTTAACCGCCCTCAGTGTTTAATTGGGTCAATGAACCAGACTAATTATTTTTCGGGGTCAGAGTATTCAGTCACGTGTCGGGGGTTCCCGGAATGTCTCCCTTCGCGGTTTTTTTTATACATGTATGTCGATACACTATTTCGTAAAGCTTGCAACTATTGTGTGCAGTAGTAGCGAAATGAGCACAAAGAAGTTCAAGCGAGTGAAACAAACTGATTTAATAGACTCCAGTGGCGACAAAGCTAACTTGAGTAAAAACAGTTGCGCTGAGAAGAGGATATTTCAGAAGCATGAAAATGAAGTATGTCTTATTGTTATTGTATTAGTTTCCTTTTCAAAAATAACACTCGAAAGGATTTCGTATTTCAGCTACAAATCGTGATGACGATTTGGATTTTTTGGAAGGTGTAATTTGTTTTTATGTGTTTTGAATTAATTATTGTTGTATCCTGAAGGTAAATTTATTCTAACATGTACTTATAAATTTATAAACCCATTTGAAATCATTCTCATTTGAATCTGAGCGATATGATTAAATTAGCTAGCTAATGCCTTTCATTCCCATAAACTCTCAAGTATTGATCACACAAAATATAATGATTAGATATTTTGAATGAAATTATACATTATGTAATTGCTTATATTTAGGTTTATAAATAACTTATATTGTACATGGCCTTGTTGAATTCAGTATGTTCCAAATAAAATATGTTATCCTATGCTACAGAGGAAGGAAGAGACGCCGTCTGTAGATGTTCGATTCTCAAGAAGACTGAAAGAGAGAGCTGAAAGGAAACTTCACATACCATCAAGAGATGAGATATTGAAATCATTGGTACCACAAGGAACACCAAGCAAAGGTTATAATCACCTGAGACCAAGAAAGTTAATTAATAATTTCTTCAAAGTGTAAGTTCAGTTTCCCTTGGATAGATCCATAAGGGGAATACTTCATTCAGTGATGGATCTCTAAAAAATGGGGGGGGGGGGGGGTGCTAATTATTGTTTGCACTTGGTCTTGAGTACTTTTTTTTTTACCAGAATGATGTTCTGTATTTTTTTGTGTATTTTGTTCTGCCATTCATACTTTGGATTCCTTCCATCTGTATTGTCTCTGTGTAGACTCAACCCCACCTGGGCTACTGTGATCTCCCCTATGCTTGGATAAGATTGGATTCACACACAATAATGCACACTTGAGTACAAACACTTTGATCCGTACTTACATAAGCATCTGGTAACGTAATAAAACAGACTTCTTTTATTGAACATATTTAATAAACTACTATAAAATACGTTGACATGGCAAATTTGACTCAGTGCATAAATTAACAGAATCTCAAGCTAGCTGAAAGACCAACAATCTCATTATATTTTTATATATTTCAAATTAGTGCAATTATGAATTTGCTAAATTACTTTATTTGTTATAATACAACTTAATATCAGTATTTTCCTGTTGTTTTTACTGCGATAATATTTATTAATCCCCGTTCGGACGAAATCCGAAAACGGGGACTATTAATTTGGGTTCGTTCCGTTCGTCCGTATGTCAGGAGCTATATCTCAGACACCCATTGACGGATTTCATTCAAACCTTACATAAAGACAATACATAATGTCTTACATGTGCTCGTTAAGTTACTTTATGATCGGAGAAAAAATAGCCGACTGGCGGCCATTTTGGATGTAAAATTTCTTATTTCTGATACCTAAACGTGTTCGCAGCTGTTTCTCGGAGATGACTGGGCCGATTTGGATCAAAGTTAGTATGATGATCATACATATTGGGTTGTAGGTGCACATCATTTTTTTTTCGTGATTCAAACAAATATGGCCGACTGGCGGCCATATTGTTTTTCATGGTACCCATGCTACTTTATCTTGAATGCAATGAACGTTTCTGTTTAAATTTTGTTAAAAGATAGTATACCAAGAGATACATCTGCATCAACATGATTTTTGTGATTCGATTCAATATGGCTGACTGACGCCCAAATTTCATGTAAAAGTGCTAAATCATCATTTTTACATGTCCGGAGCTGTTTCTCAGAAATGACTAAGCCGATTTAGATCAAAGTTGGTATGGTGATCATACATATTGAGTTATAGGTGCACGTCATATTTTTTCCGTGATTCAAACAAATATGGCTGACTGGCAGCCATCTTGTTTTTCATGGTACCCATGCTACTTTCTCTTGAATGCAATGAATGTTTCTCTTTAAATTTT